CAGGGTTGGAAGAGACCTTTAAGAGCAAGTTCGACCATCCAGCTAGCACTGCAACCCTGAAGACATCCCATCCAGTGCGAAATCGCATGATCGTTAAGGCTGGAATCCCATCCAGTGCGAAATCGCATGATCATTAAGGTTGGAAAAACTTACACACTGGAATAGGTTGGGCAGATATTCTAGCACTGTCTGCATGCAAACCTGTCATGTACTTGAGCAGGGAGGTTCCATGAGATTGTAGAATCATCAAGGTTGGAACAGAGCTTTAAGATCAGTCTGAACATCCACCTGGCACTGCAACCCCTCAAACGTATTACCCAGTGCTAGGTCACATGAGCATTAAGGCTGGAAAACTTACCGTGCACTGGAATAGGCTGCGCAGATGGTCAAGACCCATCTGGATGCAAACCTGTGCTATGTGCTTGAGCAAGGAGGTGGGACCAGATGGTGGAGTCATCAAGGTTAGAACAAGCCCTTAAGATCAGTCGAAACATCCACCCAGGCACCAGATCACACAGTTGTTAAGGTTGGAAAACTTACTGCGCACTGGAATAGGTTGCATAATTCAAGACCCATCCAGATGTAAACCTGTGCTCAGAGCTCTAGGATGCTGGAGCGGGGAGGTGGGACCAGATTGTGGAGTCATCAGCATTGGAACACACTTTTAAGATCAAATCCAACTGTTCACCTAGCACTGCAACCCCGAAAACATATCACCCAGTGCTAGATCACACGATCATTAAGGTTGGAAAACTTACTGTGCACTGGAATAGGTTGCACAGATGTTCAAGCACTGTCTGGATGCAAAGCTGTGCCATAAGCTCTAGGATGCTTGAGCAGGGATGTGGGACTAGATTGAAGAATCATCAAGGTTGGAGAAGACTTCTAAAATCATCAGTCCAACCACTAACTTGTCACTGCTGTAACCCCTAAACCATATCCTCCAGTGCCAGATCCAGACACCTCTTAAACACTTCCAGGGATGGTGAATCCACCACCTCCCTGAGCTAAACTATTCTGGTGCCTGAACACCATTCACAGCCAAGTTCTTCTTAACATGGAATCTGAATCTCCTGTCTCAGCTCAAGGCCAGTCCCTCTAGCCCTCTCCCTGCAGCCACAGAATTTGGTATTTAGGGTGATTCCACCCCCTCACTGTGCAGTCTGTTCCAGTGTCTAAACACTCTTTGCTCCACCACCTCCCTGAGCTAAACTATTCTGGTGCCTGAACACCATTCACAGCCAAGTTCTTCTTAACATGGAATCTGAATCTCCTGTCTCAGCTCAAGGCCAGTCCCTCTAGCCCTCTCCCTGCAGCCACAGAATTTGGTATTTAGGGTGATTCCACCCCCTCACTGTGCAGTCTGTTCCAGTGTCTAAACACTCTTTGCGTGAAGAAATTCTTCCTCATGTCTAACCTAAACCTCGTGCAGCTTGTTCCTCATGTCTAACCTAAACCTCCCCTGGTGCAGCTTGAGACCATGTCCTCTCACTCTGTCACTAGCTGCCTGGGAGAAGAGACTGAACCCACCTGGCTACAACCTCCTCTCAGGTACTTGTAGAGAGCCATGAGGTCACCCCTGAGTCTCCTCTCCTCAAGACTGAACAAACCCCTCAGCCATTCCTCATCAGACAGGTTTTCTGGCCTTTTATGAGCTTTGACACCCTTCACTGGACTCACTCTAGCACCTCAATGTCCTTTTTAAAGTGAGGGACCCAAAACTGAGCACAGTGCTCAAGGTGCCTCACCACTACCAAGCATAGGGGGATGATCAAAACTACAAAAATCCTCATTCCCACCTCACAGGTATCTCCACAGCCCATAGAAGTGGCTCTTCCCATTAATAATTGACAGGGATTAATTACCAGGGAGGTGAAACCATCAGCAAAAGGCAGGGTGAGGAGTGGGGTGAGGAGGGGGGCGGTGCTGTGGGGAGGGGGTGATGCGCTGGTACAAACAGCAGCGTTACTGGCGCACACACAGGCAGAGCACAGGGATCGTGTGATTTGGAGAGATGAACCGTTTTACAGGTTTTTGGGATATTTATAAGGTAGAACAGTTCATGGTGGTGGCGGAGGGAGGCAGGGGGTCCGCCGCAACGGTTGTTTCAAGCA